AACATTTTTTTTAGGAGGCGATCACCCACGTAACATTTTCGAGATTTATCATAATTCTTGCCTCAAGCATCCTGGGCGTCATGGGATACCTGTCACTTATTACTTATCAGATTATTAAAATATTGATTTGTATCTATTAATGTCTACGACTAACCAAAAATCTATCGAAAAGATGAACAAAAAAGAATAGTTTTATGATTTCATGGGCAGCTCGTACAAAATAATTGATGTTCTTTTCCAGTTCTGGCTTCTATATTCCACTCTTAACCTACCCAGTAAGTCTCAATGAGTTAGTATAACCATGCAATTAGCCGAGACTAAGATTAGTGAAGTGATATTTTCCAATAGGGTAAAACAATTGTTCATTAAGTAAACTGTAACTTCAATATAGTCAAAATAAAGTCTGCAGCTTCACTAATTGTACGTGTTTAGTTTGTTTTCATGACAATTATGTATTGTTTATACCAGTAGCAGATCCAGTATTTCATTGTTCAAGGGGAGAGGGGTATTGGTACATAAATATTCAAATGAAGAATACTTAATAGTTGACCGTTGTATTATTAAGGAAGGAGATGGTCAGGAGTGGCGGTCATAAATAGACTATAAATAGTGGCAAAACTATTTTATTAAAAGCCAACGTTTCGACCCGACTTTGCAGGTCTTCTTTAGGGAGGTGTGTTCAGCAAGAAGTTTTAGTTTGAAAAACCTCCTCTCGTCGGGTCGAAACGTTGGCTTGAAATAAAATAGTTTTGTCACTATTTTAGTCTATTTATGTCCGCCACCCCGGTCCACCTCCTTCCTCTATATTTAAATAATTCTAATTACTAATCGTCCATGCCAAGATAAAGCATCATCTCTCGGCCATGCATTTTCTGAAGAGTCGATTGATCAATCGCTCAACAAAGATAACACTACACAAAACGTTAATAGGACCCACTGCTACCTACGCATGTGAGACATGAATCTTAAATGGTACAGCAGCAAACAAAATGAACTTGTTCCCGAGGAAATTGTTACGACGTACGCTCGAACCAATCAAAGAGAATGGAGAATAGAGTCAACGAAAAAAAAAAACGTGAAATTTACAGCATCTATGGAGATATAAGAGCCTAAGAATTCATAAAATTACAACAGTTGAGATGATTGGGCCACCTATTTAGAATGGACAATGACCGGACAGCCAAAAACTCTATTCTAGCCTTCCAGAGGGAGTGAGGGTGCGTGGACGACCACGAGGAAGATGGAGGGAGGGACAGTGTAACTACAGATTTGGTTGCGTATGGCCTTTCACTGTCACTTGCTGGAGACCAAGAAGCCTGGACAAGACCGTTGGAGCAGGCCAAAGAACGCCTAGTGCGTCTGTCGTGCCTTTGAAGAAGAGAAGAATTATTCAGGAAGACAAAGAAATAAATTGTGTACAATAATGTTTATGTGGTCATGAATACGAGTTAAAAAAAAAAAAAATGTTTACAAGAACAATAATGCTTAATTTAGGTTAGGGGTCTACACAATTATTGGCCCGCGGGCCAAATCGAGACCTCCATTAAGTTCCACAGATGGGGATAAAAAAAAATCTTGTATGTATATAATTCATAATTATAGAAATAAATGACTCTTCAGTTGTTATATGAGATTTTTTGAGGTTTGACTGATTTATTAAATTTCACATATATATATTTTTTTAATTTTGCCATGCAATCAAAGAAACTTTCGTGGGACGGATGGAATAGATCAGGCCCACGTTCCGTAGTGTGCATATTCCCTGCTTTATGGGATATATTTTTTCTAGACAAGTCCTCTTAGATTTAGTTGCCGAAGTACATGCGTTATAATTAAAAAATAGTACATATTTTAACTGTTAACTGTTAAAGTATTTACATTTTTATATTTTGGAAGGGTTTTAGCCCGTAGGCCTCCCCTCTCCCATGTGTTCTATACCAGGTGGCTTCTAGCTACGGCTCGCGGCCCGGATCCATCCAACAAGCATCTGCAATCTGGTCTGCAAAAGTTTCTTTAATTACTTGATACAAATTTAGAACTTTTTTTTTTTTTTTTTATTGATAAATATTACAATCTGTCTCAATAAAGGACATTTATAATAGAGTTCTGAGAGCACATTCACACCACATTTACAAATAAAAAAAAATAAGCTAACAATAAATAAATAAAAAAAAAAGCTAACAGAACTATTTAAAAATATGAAATTTTGCATATCGCTCAATACACGACGTTTCTACAACATTTGTTGCATGACTTGTTTTCCTCTGAAACATCATTTCACAACTGTCATTTATAGAATTTTTTTATTTTTTATTTTCATCAATAACTATAGTCCGTGATACTTGGTCTGAATGCGGCCCACGGTCCGTCAAGTTTGAAGGCTTCTGGTATATTATTTACTAATAAAACTATTTCTCTAGTATCGCTTATACTTAATGAAGAGAAGAATAGTTGGGGTGATCAGTCAAATAAGAAAGCAAAAATAAATGATAATATTTATTTTGACATTTGCCGACGTTTCGATCTGAAGTTCAGGCCTCATAACAAGGTATGAGAAACATGAGTAGGTAAAAAAATTAAAGTAAAATGAAGTTGTTAGAATAATGATAATAGTAAGAACTAAGAGGTAAATAATAATAGCCGTTGCAAAGTGTGGAATGATGAAGTAAACATAATCAAAAAAAGGTGACATGAGTATTAAAATGAGAATCTTAGAATAAAATGTAAAACAGAAAAAAGGAATATGAAGTTATATAAGAAATGAAAAATTCATTTCGACTATATTTTGAAAGTGCTGGAGCTCTCGGGTTTTCGTTTGCCACATATCCTAGCGAAAGATGTGATAACTAAGAAATTTTATTGGTACCAAAAGTGATTAGAATTCGAGGATAGTTACAAAATTAATCTTGATACTGCAAATATCGCTGATCTGCGCGGCAAATTGACTGTTGTTAGACGTAGGGTAGAGGACTTAGAAAAACAATATAACCTTCAAAAATGTCTTCATTCAAGTTCTTCTGTTTACGCAGGACTATGTTCAGTGGGTATTGTTACACCTTATCTTGATGATAGTTTTGATATTGTGACTATAGGGTCAATTTTTCGATTTAGGACAGAATTACTCGATTTAAGCGTAAAACCATGGATGGTGGGGTACAACGATTGCTGTCCGGTATGTAACTCTCAAGAAAAAGAGGATATCATTCACTTTTTGGGGACTTGCCACATGTTCAGTGAGATAAGAGAGAAATGTTTTGGGCAGCGGACCTGTTCTCCAGAAGAATTATTTGGTTTCTTAAAGGGTTCTAACTAGAAAGCCTTAAGCAATTATGTACAGCAGGCCACATTGCAATGATCTCAATTAGTCAGATAGCAAACTATTGATAAAATATCGGGTTTATTTATTGTAAAGTTTGTTTAATTGTTATATTGTATTTGATGATTATTATTATTATTGTTGAATTTAAATTTCTTATTTGTGGATTTGTGATGTATTAATGTTTGTTTTTTGAAAACTCTGTCTAAACAAATGAGACAGTGAAAAAGAAAATTGTTAGAATGGATGTATAAAAATATAATAAGACTGTAGATATATTATTGCTGATTTATTTTAGTTATAAATGTGATGAATATTTATTATTGATTACACACATACCTCGACAGACGGCATTTTCCATTGTCTATGTGTTGCTGCTTGTATATGTATATTTTACTTTGTATAATTTTTTTAAAAAAGTTAATAAACACGTTTTCATTCATTCATTCATAAGAAATGAAAATAAATAGTAAAATTAAGATATTGCAAATAGAATAGTTAGATAGAAAATTGAGATATTTTAAAATCTATATCAAAATGTACGGACAACGTATAATATAATAAAGAGTTAAAACAAAGAAAAGGAATGAAAGGTAGGAGGAAAGAAACTGAGATACTTAAAATATATTTGAGAGAAGATGGGCGAGTTCTCGTAGGGATATATTGTTAATGAATAATATATGATGACGCTGAAGATGACCCACATGTTTGGGTTGAAACGTTGGCACGAATAAAAAATAATTTATTTTTTTTTTTTAAAAGACTGCTTATCACTAGTGTTGCCCAAATGCGAGACCGAGACGAGTCTTGGTCTAGCAAACACAGTCTTGGTCACGGTCTTGGTCTTGCGCAGGAGTCTCGCAAGAGTCTTGCAGTTACTTATTAGCTTATTACTATTACTATGAGATATTACTGATGTTTTTTAGATAGGAGAAACCTAACTATGCCCAAATGAAAAATTTGAGGAGTTAAATGCAAAAGTATATTGGTCATATCAATTCTTTATATATAGTAACTAAAATTGTCGAGTATTTGTAACTATTTTGCCTTAATTTTTATTTAAAAAATCGTTTTTTTTTTACTAGTCCTGGTCTTGGTCTTGCAACAGCTAGGCGATGCAAAGTGCAAAACCAAGACTGATTTTGGGCAACGTTATTTATCACCCATGATCTATTTATCTATGATATGTAGAAAAGTCGGCTAGCTTTCTTCAATAATTAATGAATAATATGTAATATTGCAAATATTCATTTTATTTAACTCGTGCTTCGGTAGGATCAATATCCAATACTAGATTATAATAGGCGTATCGATGAAATATGCTACCTATTTCCGGTACTTCAATTAAACCACTTGCACATTTCTGTACCAGCTGAGTCTAACAATAGAAGCTATTTTATCACTCTTTGCTTTAATTGTTAATATAAGGGAGATAGAGTAAGGGAGAGGGTGAGAGAGAGACAGTGCGAGAGAGGGGGTGACGGTGCGAGAGAGAGGGAGTGAGAGGGGGTGAGAGAGGAGAACTGTAAGCAGGATTGTTCTACATACAGAACAAATATTGATGAATTCATTATACAATATCCAAGGAGGAGTGGTGGGTAGGGGAGGGGGCTATAGAGGGCCAATGGGAAGAGGGGGCGTGGCCTTAGAGGGGCGGGACGAAGCAATAGCACAGTCAGTCAGGATGTCTCTCCCGTCGGGTGTCGACATGTCAGCTCTCATGTCCCAGCACGCCGTGTTCCCGCCTGCCTTCTTTTTGCGGGCCAGCGAGCGCTACCAGAGGACGCCCAAGTGCGCTAGGTGCAGAAACCATGGAGTCGTAAGCGCCCTCAAAGGACACAAGCGCTACTGCCGCTGGCGGGACTGTTCTTGCGCCAAGTGTACCCTCATCGCCGAGAGGCAGCGGGTGATGGCCGCCCAGGTGGCTCTTCGCCGCCAGCAGGCTCAGGAAGAAAGCGAGGCCAGGGAGCTCGGCCTAGTCTACACCAGCGAACCCCCGCTACTGCCGCCCCCGAGTCTTCCAGGTGAGTGTCTCCTTTTCATAATATGTCCTACAATCTCTCTGTCAAAAATTGTCATAATTTGCTCAAAAATGTCAAATTTCTTGAGTCATTTCATACATGGTTCTCGTAAGATGCAAATAGCACTGGATCATTGTATGGATGCTCGATATCAAATGCATAAAGTAAACGTCCGAAATTATACAAGGGAGTCTACAAAGATTATTAGTTACGACTCCTCTTTATAAATCGGCTATTGTTTAAATATTTTATTAAATGTTGATGAAATTATCAGTTCAATTATTTGTTTCTACATACAATTTTTGTTGAATTAATAATATAAGTTGACATGTATTTCATTTTTGAACTAAATACTTTATATCGCGGCACCGTATTTGAATCTGACAAAATATTTTCCAAACATTTTGATCTCTTTACCAGCTATTATACTTACAAAAAAAATAAAATTCTTTTATTAAAACAAAATAACAATTTTAAATACTTTAAATAAGTGTTAGTATTGCATAATTGTGACAATATTATTATTTATATATAAGTTCCAAGTTATTAGAAAATAGTTTATTTCTTTCAAGTTAAAAAAAAAATAAATTGAACATTATACGCATGCAACATGAAATATAACATTTTTAAAAATCTATTTACAATAATAACAATTTATAATTACCAAGTTAGTATATCAAAATTAGAGAGTCATTATCTATATTATGATCTGATTTATTTATTATTAAATTAAAATATTTAACAAATTTAGATATATGCTTACATTAACATTATTAATTAACAAGTTTGATAATGTGTGCAGAATGTTAACAAATATCATTATTATAATTTTTAAACAACAACGTTTCCCAATTTTCAAACAGTATTTTCACAAACAAAATTGTATACATATGTATATGATTATTATTATTAATATTTTTAGGCAGAGATTTAATAAACATTAAAGGTATCAGAGTGAACTAATACATAGTCTGATGCACAGGCGGATCTACGGTGGGGGCCTTCGGGCTGAAGCCCCCCAAAATGATAAAATATTACCATGTTTAAAGAAAAAAATTATCTCTTAAAGTATTATTGTTCGTCTAATTACACTTAATACGACTTAAATAATCATTTAAACGTCATTTCATATAGATGGTTAGTTTCTATATTTCTTCCGAAGTAATTATTCTAATATATACATATAAAAAAAATCTTTCGGGCTGAAGACCCCCCTCCCAAAATTAAATCCGGGATCCGTTAGTGGTCTGATGTAATAGATTTTCAATGCAAAGAACAAAATATTGATTAATTGAATATAATTACTGATTTATCTTAAATTTCACAACTCATAGAATTTATTGACTGACGGTACTTTGTCAAAATAATATATAAATCAAACACACTATTAGTAGTTATTTTTGCCAATTTACTTCATAATTCCTTTGGCCTTAGAGATTTAAACGCAGCAAAGCCTATGCAGCTAATATTGCAGGGTAAAAAAACAACTTATTACAGTGTTATGGAAAAAAAATATTTTAATGAATAGAAGCTATCATTCGATCATACTAATAATACGTTAAAAGCTATTAAATTTAAGTAATTTGGTTATAATTACTTTCAAATATAATCAACAATTGTTTTAATTTTTTTAGGATTATCCACAAAATTAATCAGTTCCGCATCTAGATTTTGTAAGATCTACTAACATAATTATAATTATTAATGCCCTTCAATGTGGCAGAATGTATTAATATTCAATAAAGAAAGTTTAAAAAAAAAATTATAATAAATGCAATTACATTTTATGTTTTTTCCGCTTTTAAAGTTTTCAATTATTATTTTCAAAATAGTTTTGTTAATATAAACGTAATGTTTATTAATTAAAAAGATAGAAATCAAAACTCCCTGCCAAGTCTAATAATTTGAATGATAAAATTGTCTGATGCACTATAAATTAAAAAAAAAAAAAATAGAAACTGAGAATAAGTAATTTTTTTTTATAATATAAGAAAGAATCATGACAGGATTCATTTATTAAGTCGACAGCTATTAACAAAAAATTGTAAATAATAATACAAATAACAGTAATAATTAAACGTGTGAAAAACTGATGAATGAATTCAATTTTATTGTTTTAAGCAATGAACATTTTTTATCATTTATATTTGTTGAGTGAATAAAAAACGTTAAAAATACATTCACATACGATACATAGAGCAGGAAAACCTAAATATTATTTTGTGGTATTTCTGCAACACTCTGTGCGGAGAATCAAGTCCTATTTCGCCGGATATCTGCGCAGATTTCCATTTAAAATAGGTACATACGAGAATAGGATAGAATACGGCAAAAATTTTTATTTGTTATTGACGCTGTCAACTAAACGTTTTCTTAAAAGATGAATATTTGTTGAATCAATAAATAAAAAAGATATATGAAATAAAAAAGAAACATGAAAACAAATTAGCTTGAATTATCTCTTAAGATATCTTAAACTGTTGCTTTATTTTAATAGTCTCTAGTTGTAATTTATAGTTTCACTATAAGAAAGCAACTTAGTTTATCGATTTTTAATTGATTTTTTGGAAATGTTACTCCCTACAATAATAATATTCTATACCAATATATATATATATATATATATATATATATATATATATAGAATATTATAAAATTTTATCTAACAAATGGAATCAAACCAAATTTGAAAACTTACAATTTTATCTTAGCAGCGCTTTACACAACCATAGGTTTTCCTTTATTGCAATATACTATATACATTAAAGAAAACAGTTATTTATATTGTTTTCTCCTTAGCCCTACAAGCAGATATATCTCCCACCAAACAAGAATTTGTATCTTAAGAACGTCTGTGAGTTTGAAAGGATAAAAATTCCTGATATCAATTTAGAAGTGTAATAGCTCATAAATTTTGATGTAATTATACAACTTGAAATTTAAAAAAAATTGTAACCATTTACAAAATTGGTAGTCTGATACCCAACTGTTTGGCTTAAAATCACAACACATATCAAAAATTTATTAAATAAAACAATATATTATTTTTGTGAATAATAATATTTTTTTGTATATTAATCATACATGCTATTTTTTTTATTTTTAAATAAACTGCATTAAAGGTAACGACTACTAATAGAAAATAAAAAATAAACATTAACTAATTGATAGCAGCATCTTTATTGAACAATTATTATTTTAAAGTTTAAAATTAAATAACAATGGAAATACTGGAAATATTCAGTAATTTAATTATTTAGACTACAGATCGACTGACCCGGATTTCGAAAATTAGAAAAAAAAAAATGTTATTCGATTAAAAAAAAACAACTAAATTAAACAGAGAGCTTATTGTAAATAAAGTATCTTATTACTCATTATAGGTTTCATATTTCAATATATAAATATTCAATAGAAATAAACAAATATAAAAATTTACCAGTAAAATTATAACATAAAAAAAAAATAAATAAATGATAATACCTAATTTGTTAAAAAAATAAAAATATTGCTTGAAAACCAAACTTACAATTATTAAATGTATGTATTGAAGACAGTTCAAATAGTAATATTGAAAAAAAATCTTTAACGCCAAAGAACGTATGTAATTTTAAATATACATATTAATTATTGTGTAAGTTCAATGGGCAATTTATTAGAATTAAAAACTAACAATGAGATAAACGTAATAAAAACAATAAAGAAAACAATTTAATTTATTAATGAAATTTTTAATTTATTTTTTGTTTACTGCATTAAAAATTGTATTTATTTTTTAAACATAATTTACGTACAAGTATATATTAGGTTCGTTATTTCATTATTGTCTAAATATTAAAATATTAAAACGTCGTATATACTTATACTTTATTTCAAGTTGAAGCAATTGTTTTCATTAGGTAATAAGAGGCTGTTATATGTCTATGTTGTTAAGGTGGTTTACTAACGACAGTATTTTTAAATTAATTTATTTTTCACCTCAAAATTAAAGAAGCTTTCGGTGTATCTCCATGTTCCTCTACATATGTATATCCAAAAAAAAAAAATACCTCTATAAATCAGATGCTGGATTCGAAACAAAAAGCATCTCATATTCCGCAACATTAGTCTCAGATAACCACAAAAAATAAAACTTTATATAATGAGATCAGTTATTGGGTAATTCTCGTTAGTTGCCCAACTGCGAGACCAAGACGGTTTTGGTCTTGATTTTGTGCAAGAGTCTCGGAACAGTCTGGCAGTTACCTATTAGCCTATTACTATAGAGGTATCACTGTAATTTTTCAGATAGGAGAAATCTAATTAAGCTCGAATAAAAAATTGGAAGAGTTAAATGCAAAAGTATATTGGTTATACCAATTCTTTACATTATTAACTAAAATTGTCAAGTATTAGTAACTATTTTGCCTTAATTATTATTTATATAAACTATTTTTTTTTTTATACCAGTCTTGGTCTTGGTCTTGTAACAGTTAGGTGGTGCAAAACCAAGACCGATTTTGGGCAACACTAGAGCTACCGGTTAATGCTTATTATGTTGGTAAATTAGTGTCCGACGAACAAGAGTTTTAGTTCCTTAAAATGTCAGTAAATAATTTTAATTTTATTTATTTAATTATTCAATAGTTTAACCCCAAAATAAGTTTAGATATAATAAAAACAGACAAAGAATACTATTCAAATCATTTATTGTTTTAAATAGAAAAAGTGAAGAGATATATTTTTTAGTTGTGATACAATTAGAAAATTATTTAATATTAGTACATTGTTAATATTATAATTTAATCATTTTCTAATTTTGACTTTTTTTTTTTCTTATTTATATTTTCTTATTGAAACTTTTATATGATTTATCATTCGGCTAATCTGTTATTTTACTTATCTTGTATATTACTTTAACTTTTTATTTATATATATCTTTTTTTTTTCTTTCTCTTCTTACTTGGTTATTTTTATTTATTTTCCTTTCTTATGTACATATTGTATGAATGAATACTATAGCCCTAGTACCAATGCCCTTCAGTGTGGCAGACTGTATTAATACTCAATAAAACAATTTTTTAAAAAATAAAAAATTATGAATAACTACAATTCGAAATGATGCTTTCTTAAAGTCCACGATGCAGCCCATTAAAAATTTTATATTATCGATCATTATTTATAATATTATCTTTTTTTAATTGGAGTCATTAGTACTAATGAATAGGCTTTTACCGACGTTTATACGATATCGGTATGATTACTAAAAGCTTAAACGATATATAGTATAGGGGATGTATGATTGCCTGAATTCAAAGCTTATATCCCCTTAAGGGTGGCTAGCGAAAGGAACCCTTTGTCCTACCTGAACTAATTGCCAACCACTCGAGTCGAGTAACCTCAAAAGATAAAAGTGTTGCTTCAATGGAGGGCATCTCCAACCTAATACAAACCCGTAAGGCCTAATTGCAAACACTTACAAACGCTTTAGTCCACAAAAGGCTAATAACATAATGTTTTTTTTTTTTCTTAAATTATTAATTTAATGACTCTAAGGCTCTTACTTTTGGGCTAGATAAAGATTTATCTATTTAATATAATCTTAATATTCAAAATTGGTGTTGCCTGTAATGATATACATATTTTTTATTGAGTTATATAATATTTTATAAAGAATAATTATAGTGAGTTAACACTACATCCATACTACGTATATAGAAAATATTTAATATTCAGACGCAAAATAACAACTAAATAATAATCAAATAGTATAAACATAAATAAAAATGAAATAACATAAAAATAAGTAAAAAAAAAACAAAAAAAAAACAGACATACTTATATACACTAATAATAATATTTAACACATTTTTTCAAGATCTTGAACATTCTTCGTTAACAATGGTCTTTCTGAAGTAAAAGATGTGCTATTTGAAAAAAAAAACAAATGTATCACTATATAACAAAGTGTTTAAAATGTCATTCATCATTGGTGAATGAGACAGTCTCTGATTATGATTAAATTTTCTAATTATTTTAATAATTGTATATAGAAGTTTCATAATATGTTTGCTTTATTTAATATAAAAATAAATTAATGAGCAATATTCGTAGGTGCACATGGTTATCGGAGACAACCGAATGAATTTCGAATTTTACCTCACAGTAGCCCAAGCAGATTTCAAACCTTTTACCGTACTCTTTGTTTATTTTAAAATTTTAATTTTTTTCTATTACCCTTAAATTTCTATTCAATATAAAATATTGTAAATTTATTATAATACTATATTTTTATATCTATAAATACATTTTTTTTCTTATGATGGCTCAAGACATCCATTGAAATCCTATACCGAAAATATGTTGTTATATATATATATATATATATATATATATATATATATAAGTTTTGAAAAATAAAAAAATAAATGTAATGATTGAACTTATAAAGGGATGTCAAACTCAGTGGGTTACTGAATATTTAATTTTTTTTTTAGGGATTTTACATCAACAATATTGGACACTCAACCGGATGTCCGCCCTTAGGAATTGAAAAAAAAATGCTCTAATAGAAAAAATTATTTTCTGTATCAATACATTTCATTTTCTTTCTTCTTTTTTTTTTAAATAAGAAAAATATATTGCCGATACTCTAAAAAAAGTTCAACAGCATCAGAAATTCAACAAAATTAATATTTGCTTATAATAAAATGGGCCAAGCAAATTTTTATTATGAAGAAATAAGTAAGATTATTAGCGTTCTCTGAAACTCTTAAATATGATATTTTGTATGAATACAAAAATATAAATTCTAGAACTTGATTTTCTCTCCAGCCTGCCGTTAACTAAAACGTACTTAACCACTTATGATTTTCTTCGAATTCAATATTATTACGACCGTTGGAAAGCTCAATTACTGCTCTTCCAACTCATATAAACCAATTTTATATTTGTCTTTATAAGGTAAAGATAAGTACAAACGTATCACAGTGTGAAAAAAATACAAGTTATACTAATAATAAACACGTAAATAGCTTTCTTAAAATCTCTAAAACGACGTTACATCGCTTATTTAAGTTTTTTTGCAACTCTTGAGGCTTACTTCTTTAGATATTTCTATTATTTATGGGATAACCCATATATGGAATTAATTGAAATAGTAACTGATTCTTCAATTTTTTTTAACCTTAAACCTATGACTTTTTGTCCTACAGTATTCTTCAATAATATTCTACTTAACTCTATTTAACAAATCAGCTACTTAGGACTCCATTTTGACAAACATCTTACTTGGAATTGGCATACAAGATTGAAAAGACAAGAAACTGCTCAACGTTTCCGACTACCAATTAATTACAAAAAACTCATTTACACAACTATAATAAAGACAATTTGGACTTGGAATTGAGCTATAGGGCTTCACGAAGATATTAACTAGTATATCTAATCCTTACAATGAGAAATCCTGCTTATAATCCTTAATTCTTCTTAATTTGTCACAAATAACATCATCCATAATGACTTTCCATATGTTCCAATTTTGCCAAATCTGGATACCTGTCCTTCCATACTAAACTTCAGAACCAAATAAATCCTGACTTTCTTCATCTTCGATTCTTGATATCCCACAGAGCCGTCTGAACACAAAATGGTCTTGTGGTCTTCTAAGTTATTTGTTTATTAGATAATACTGCAATTGGCCACTTGGAGGGCAATAAGTATTAAGGTTAAAAGTATTAATTCATACAATATATACTATAAAAAAAAGATAAATAACAAAATATATAATAGAAAAAAGCAAATGCATTTTTTTTTAGTTTGTAGTCACCTCTATCCTGGAGGGTCATTGACGTTTAGTTTTTTTATACTATGTTGTAGTATTAAGTTTCTATTAAGAATCAGAATATAATGGTGACTTCATCCTCTTGTCATAATATTTTCTTCATTGTTATCGGTAATTTCAGTTTTTGTCGAATGCTTTTGAACTCATGACACTCCAATAATAGGGGTTTCAACGACTGCGGTTTAATGTCACACTTTTGGTACTGGGATGCTTCTAGTCCTCTAAGAAGGTAGCAGTGAGTAAACAGGAAGTGACCAATCGGCACAATTTGGTTTCCTCTCTTCTGGATCTTTGAGTGCTTCTAGCCTAATTGTTGCACCCTGTTTTTATTTCTAATAGTTTTGACTGTTTATTTTTCCATTTGTTTTCCAAATCTTTTAACAACTTCTTTTTTATTTCATGTAACAGTTTATTGAAATTAAGGTTGGCACCTCTCACTTTCTTGCTAAATTAGCTGCTTGGTCTGCTCTTTCATTGTCTAAGATACCACTATGAGATGGAACCTAGACAAATACAACACTGACCGTTCTTTTTTTCAATCCCCACCATAGATTCAATGTATCCCTTATTAAAGAATTGCTTGGCTATGGGTTACCAATTGCTGCCGTGACGCTTTTTGAGTCAGATGCTATCATCCATTTATTGCCATTGGAATTTGATATCTAACACCTTCATGATCGGAGTAGTTTCTCCAGTAAATGTGGAGCTCTCTCCAGGAAAACTAAACAGCAGATGGTACTGGTTTTTTATTAATATATGCAGCGCAGCCAACACTATTTTCCATTATAAAGGCATCGGTAAATATGATATTAAAATCTTTGTACTTCTCTAGTAATTAAAAAAACATTTTTGGATTTTTAGTGGGTATTATTTGTTACATCTTGTTATCGATATTTACTTACATTAGAAAAATAAGTAAAATAAAATAGGTAAATCTTCTTCAACACAATCATACCTATGTACAACATTTACATTCGGTCAGGAAACTCCGAGCTAAGCTTTGTCCTACACAGACTCCAGGAGATCCCAGTGCCTCCCTTCTAGCCACTTCACTTGCATTAAGTGATCTCCTAATTTAAAAATTATATTAAAGTGCTAACTATAGATTTTAGTGCCCTCTCTGAGTCTTCACTGGATTCCCATCCCAGCGATGCGGCTGAGAGAGGCGCTGGGATCTCTTGGAGTCTTGCCTTATCTTCCACAAGTAGGGGAAAGGGCCCGACTCGGAGCTCCCTCGGCTGACTGTAAATATTGTAAATAAGTGTGAATGTGATTTTATATAATTTTTTTTTATATATGTAATGTTGTCCCATATTTGATTTATTCTGTTATTCCAAGTTTTCTTTTCTTTTCTTTTGTTATAACTTTCTATTGTTTTTATTTTATTGTATATATGGTATTTTTTTTATTTTTATTTTTTTTTTTTATATACATTACATCATGTCATAACACTAAATTACACGTTTATGGTTGCAGTAACATTACACATGGCATACTAGTGGTTTGAATGCTACTTAGAAAATTGAAATCCATTTTTTACAGTAGGAAAAACCTCATAAAAAACCTACACAAGAAAAAAAAATTAGGTTACAATCATTAAAAGTACAAGAAAAACTAAATATAATTTATCTACAAAAGGAAACTATATATATATATATATATATATATATATATATATATATATATATATATATATGCGCACATACATAATATATGGTATGATTGTTTCATACATTCTAAATACTCAATGCTCTTAATTGAGGCAAAATGTAAAAAAACATTATGTGTTATTAATTAATAGATATTAGTTTCATGAATACGTTAAAAAAAAATTAACATGAATAACAAACAACACTCGAAGTAAAGGTCCAAGTGCAAGGTTAGTTTCCTGGGGCACACTTGGCGGAAAAAAAATAATTTTTACTTGCATCCTGACATTGTACGAAAAACTTAATACCCTGTAAAAGGGTCTTTTCAATAAAAATTATCCCCTCTCTTAGGAGAAGGGATGAAGAACGTGGAAGATAAAGACAAGACGGGGTTTGTCGGTCCACAATGCTCTCCTCAGACAAAAGAGCTAGTTGAGGGAAAAAAAAAAAAAAATAGAAGGGCCACTGGAGAAGTTAGCAATATCCTCGGCAATTAGGCTCCTTTTGTCCGCTGAAGCCAATTACATCTGACCACTTGACCAACCGCTAAACGTAAACAGGATATTATGCCCCCCTCCTTATTTCCATTTCTTTATTTTCTGTTGCCCTCAGTCCGATGAAAGAGTTGTTTTTTAAATAAATACATCACTTTTCCAAAGAGCTTCATCCTTCTCGAGTGGCCCTCCACGAGGAGCGCTAAACCGATATTCCTTCTTTTGGTTATTTGTTTATAGGGCAACCCCCTCCCCCCTCTACCATCCCCTCCCTCCCAACCAACTTTTTTTTTTTGTTCATGCTTTTCCTTGTGGAACACCAGATACGACCCATATGAATTAAAATTGAAAAAAAATTCACTAATTTTAATGAAAAAACATTAAGTTGAGAGAAATTTTGAGAGGAGTGATATCAGACCGCAAGAACTACAAAAAATTTATATAAACGATGGGCTAATTTTCATCAGAAAAGTAAGAAATTAAGTTTTAGTTGTTTGGCAACAATAACTTTCAGTTGTGAACAATTGAGTATATTTTACTGTCAACGTTACATGTTAACAAATTAGTTGGCGTTTCGGGACATTTATTCCGATCTTCAGAACTGCAATTCCAATACTCTTGTGGATGCAAGGCTTAAATTTAATAATAATAATGTGCTCCATCGTCAATTTTCTAATTTATGTTCTAAAATGTATCATCTAGAGCAACATCCTCCTTTTGACCAATAATTGGGTTTCTGCCATAGTGGGTTTTACTATAATTAAATATACTCAATTGTTAACAACTGGAAGTTATTATTGCCAAACAACTAAAATAAATTGACAACTTCCCAGAAAAAAATAAAAAAAAATATGAAATTAAAGTTTTGTGTTTTTTTTAAAGATAGTTATATTTTTTTCTGAATGGGGAGCGATTATTGTTGCCCAAATACGAGACCGATACGAGTCTTAATCTTGTAAATTCAGTCTTGGTCAAGGGTCTCGCAACGGTCTTGCAGCTACCTATTAGCTTAGTACTATAGAGATACTACTGTATTTTTTTATTTAGGGGAAACCTAAGTAAGCCCGAATGAAAAATTAGAAGAGTTAAATGCATAAGTATATTGGTTATACCAAATCATTAACATATAGTATCTAAAATTGTCAAGAATTAGTAAATATTGTGCCTTAATTTTTATTTTAAAAAATCGATTTTTTTTTACCAGTCTTGGTCTTGCAACAGCGAGGCGGTCTGCCAAGACCAAGACCGATTTTGGGCAACACTAGAAGCGATAACTAAAGAAATGTTTAATTTAAGTAATTGATAATTACTTCACTGTAAACTATAAAAAATTGACTTTAATTGAAAAGAGAGTTTGCCGTTCCTAAATCCACTTAAAGAGGACATTTGAGTGGCTAAACTGAGCTATGTATTGTTTTTAAAAAATCATAAATTGTTTTATTTTATTTATTAATACAAAATGTATTCAAGCAATTATGTTTATTAAAATAAATCCCACATCATGAAAAAACAATAAATAAAAGCTTTGTAACAGTTAATTGTAGTCATTTTTGAAGGAAACACGAGCACTATTAGGTGACTGGATGGAAATTGACATAATTTCTTTACACAACTTGAGGTGAATCTCAAGATTTTTCCCAATACAACTCTCAATTTAATTAGCATAATTTTAAACCTTATCAAACGAAGAAGTTTTGCTAAAAGTGGGGTATCTGTAGTGTAGTTTGATATTGAATAAAAAAAAATCGCCAATAATTTATGATTTTTTTTTTAAACAGGACTTAGCCAAGTTTAGCCTCTCAAAGGTCCTCTTTAAATGGTTTTAACAATGACAAACTATATTTTTATTTTAATAAAATTTCATCTAGTTTACAGTAAAGCATTTATTAATTGCTTAAATTAAATGTTTCTTTAGTTATGGCTTTTTATTCATCAAAAATCATGAATTACTTAAAAAAAACGTTAAACTTGGATTTCCTACTTTTCTGATCAGAATTGGCCCATTATTTATATAAACTTTTTTGCAGGACTTAAGGTCACTTCTACAAAAAATTGCCTCTACTTACGGGACACCATGTATATATATATATATATATATATATATATATATTACATTTCTGGATTTAAAATCGATAATTGTATTTGCCACAAAATCATGTAATAATTATTACATTTGATTTTTAATTTAAAAACCATGTCTGTAATATAAATAAAAATTGAAATCGATCTTTGATGATTCGATTAAAAATGATGAACACTCACTGAGTGACAAAGTTTTATATAAAGAATGGTTAAATTGTGATAAAAAAATATATATAAATCAGATTTTTATATTTATATTATATATATATATATATATATATATATATATATATATATATATATAGCTGTTGGACTTTGACTATTTAAGTTATGAGTCTCCTTCAGCAGCTTGAAGCTGTAATAGGCGATAGTAGTGATCTTTGGTTCTTTCTTCTTTGAGATATTCAGGGAGCACGTGGTTTATTAACTTCATCATTAACCAGAAAATAAAAATCACCTTTTACATACTAATTAAATTGAGTATTAATATGTATGTATACGTTATTAATGTAAACATTTATTAATTTTATTTTTCTGAAATCGCTTTATTTGTGCACTCGATACCTACAATATATATATGCTTTTTTTTTTTTGTAAGCCAAAACTTCTAATGAATTTCGGGATTAAAGGTGTTTTGTTGTTAATAGTTGACAACAATATTCTCCACGTACTCCTCCAGACTCAAAATATATCATAGTGATTACAAAAAAATATATATTTCTGATTCAAAAAAGTATTACTCAAGAATTATGATTATTGTTTATTGCAATAATTTTGTTCAAAAATAATGATCAGGGTATGATTTTTATGACTTATGATCAAAAATAAAAATCGCTCTTAATGAATGAATGTCACCAAATGATTTTTAAAAATTCTAGATACAAATTTCGATCAGATTTTATTTTTATTTTTTTAATTATTGATTTCTAACCCTGTTAGATTCATATACAATATAATATAGAAATAAGTACGAAGTAAACAATTTCCTCAAAAAACCATCCCCACTCCTTAAATATTGGACTAGTCGCTCAGTAACTTGCGAACTGATAATTCGGTAACCGAAATAGAAAATGGCAATGTTTTAAAATATGCCAATTTTAAACATCCTTATAAAGCTTCTCTTAATATAATAAATCAAATTATTATATGTAAAAACTACGAATATGGCAACTGAGCTTTTATACTACGATACCTTCTTTTGATACAAGAAATGTAAGATATGATAGGTAAATATATTTTTTGTATTATAATACATAGATAGAAGAAGATAGAAGAATCAACTTTATTCTGGGACTACGTCCCTTGAGAATAACAATATTGTACATAAAATTAAACATTACATCTGGCCAAAATGTATATTACAATAAACAAAAACAATCAAACAAACAAAAAAAACAACTAAACAATAAGGGATAAAAGAAGTGTTTACATAACTGTACAGATATCGGAAGCCATAATATGAGAAATAATGTCCTAATACTGCAAAATAGTTGCTATACACAATACGCTATGAAATTATAAATGAGCGACAAATAATAATAAAGATGTTATAGTAATAGTAGTATGTTCGTAGAACCTAATAGTATAATCGAAATACAATAATAGTGTAATCGTACATACACAATATATACACCCAATAATACAATAATAGTGAGAATACAATAATAGTACAATAGTATATATACAATATACATATATTAATATATATATACATATACATACATACACATATACATACATACAATGCAACAATAGTATAATAATACAATATAGGCTACCCAGCGTCTGATTGAATTGTAAGGAGGAATTGGAAAAGGAGGGTTTTAAATGTGGATAAGGATGGTGCATGGCGGATTTTAAGTGGGATGGAATTCCAAAATGTGGTGGATCGGACAATAAAGGAGTGTTGAAATGAGGCCGATTTGTGGAAAGGGGTATAAAGGTCGGAAGGACGAGATCTTGTGGAGAGGGAGTGGATAGATGACTTTTGTCTTCTAAATGAGTGGTTTTAATTATAGATAGTACGAATGATTTCG